CTTTCCAAGATATCGGCATCGGCTGTCAAAAAACCAATATCGGTCGACCACTAATAGTAAGACATGCAAACATAAAAGAAAACCAAACTGGACGCGAGAACAGCTATATATTAAGGATATAATCAAAAATTAGGAGTTGGGATAACCTCCAAACCAAAGCCGATACCTTTTTAAAAGCTCATTATCGTCAAATGTTTCTAAAATGTTTATATTCCGAGGTAGATTGCTGGCAACAGCAATTTTAGGATAGCTCAGATTTGGTCTTAGTGACTTAGGAGTCCTCTTTACTACTCCTAACCTTTCACAGATTTAGGAGCTAATTTTAGAGCTAAAACGCTTTGTGAAATACCCTTAGAACAAAAATTTAGGAGTACTAAATTTAGGACTGACACGCCCATTATTTTTAAAGATTTTCTCCTAAATCGGCGAGTTATGAGCTACTTTTAGCCTTAAGATACGTGATATTCTGATCATATTTTTTTCCAAGCACATTTTACCAATTCCAAACGACATCAATCTTAATAACCACTATTAATCTTGTATTTAATCATTTATAATTGATATATAATTATTCATGAAAGCTGGAAGTGAAAAATGTCTTATATTCAGGTGTGCATAATTATTACAAATTAATAATTTAATTATTTTTAAATTATTTAAACTCCTGTACAATCTGCCAACACACACGGATCATCTTTTTAAGACCTTTCCAGTTTTAATGTAATGTAATATAGTATAACATAATATAATGTGAACGTTTGTGTACATGTGTTCTAAAATGCGCTTCATAAATAATAATGTTTGCTTTGCATATGTCTGTGGTTCTGTCAAATACAACCCTCTCGTACTTGCAGCATGCCTCTTAACGTCTGAAAGCGTTTGTGTCGGAGGATGAAGCCCCGCCCTCTCATGAATAATGACATCAGTACATCAGACATTTACTCTATGGCTGCAACAAACGATTATTCTGATAATCGATTAATCTAACGGTTACTAGAACGATTAATCATATAATCATCGATTGTTTAGCTGATTAAACAGTAGACTTTGATTGATTATTCAGCTTTTGCAATTAGTTAAAATATTGAGTTATACATATTCTAACAAATAAATAAAGGTAATCACTTCAGCTTTTGAAAATCATATTATGTAATTACAATAATTATACAATTAATTTATAAAAACAATATATATTTGGCACACAAAATGAGATGACAGACAGAGAAACTATTATTCACGGTTTAATTAGCTCTATGAAAAAGAAACTGAATGACATAATTCTGCCTGACATCTCCTTCTGTAAGTCATGTGGATAAGAAACAAAATAAAGGTAAGTGATGATAAGTGGTTTTATTTTTTGGATAAACTATTTTATTCACAACATAATCTCTCTTAAAATACCTTATAGGGTTATGCTAATCAAACAGTCCTGAGCTAGATCAAGTTTTGACCTCTGCAAACCAAACTATAACTTTAATGAAATAATATTTTTTCCCCACTAATAAAAAGATTGTATCATTAGCGAGCTTCACACTGGAGAGCTGCTTTATAACAGAAAATCAGGTTGTAATTCTAACTGAAAGCGACACTGACTCTGGTTGTTCATGTTTAATACTGTAAAGCTGCTTGATTTAAGGCTAGGCATGTCCCTTGTTCAAGGGCAATCACTAATTATAATGATGACAATAACAATAACAGAAGACTGAGTGCAAAAAAAAATAAAAAAATGGAGAAAAGGACAATGGATAATAGCCTAATGCTGGATTTTTTTTCAGTTGCCGCAACCCTCATTTTAGAGAAAATAACCACCTGCTGCTCTGCTGCTGTGGGAGTGGAAAATGCATTTGACCGAAATGAGCATTTTCTTTCAGGTAATGCTTATGCAATTGTGTATGTGTGCATATGTGCGCTGTATGGTTCTCGAATATGAATTAAAGCAATTGTTATAGTAATAGCACAAACATTTACATTTTGCTAATTCCTCACCCTCAAGTTCCAAATCTGTATGACTTAGTTTCTTCCAGGAACATAAAACTGTTCATTTCCATACAACAAATTAAGACAGTTAGTACATTTACAAATGCAGTTATAATCAAGATATTAATCCACATTTAAAAGATTAAATTAAAAGATTAAAAAATATGTACAATGCAGAGGCCAACTGTATGATTAGGGTAACCACCTGGTTATTGCTCTGTTGCAGGAAAGTAGATGTAATTTGCAGGATATTGCGGGACACGTGTGTGAGAGATAAATTTACTACTATTATACTATGTAAATATTGATTTACATTTGTTGTAAAGCATAGGCGGAGGTAGGGCTGCAACAAACGGTTATTTTGGTAATCGATTAATCTAACTATTATTAGAACGATTAATTGACTAATCAATGATTTCACTGATTAATCAGTAGACATTTGATTATTCAGCTTTTGCAATTAGTTAAAATATTGAGTTATACATATTCTAACAAATAAATTAAGGTAATCACTTCAGCTTTTGACAGTCATATTATGTAATTAGAATTATACAATTAATTTATACAAATAAATATATTTGGCACACCAAATGAGATGACAGATAGAGAAACTCTTTCATTCTCTCATTAATTAGCTATATGAAAAAGTAACTAAATGATTCGTCATTCTGCCTAACATCTCCTTTTGTAAGTCATATGGATAAAAAACTAAATAAAGGTAAGTGATAAGACGTTTTAGTTTTGGATAAACTTTTTGGATAAACTATTTTATTCACAACATAATCTCTCTTAAAATACCTTATAGGGTTATGCTAATCAAACAGTCCTGAGCTAGATCAAGTTTTGACCTCTGCAAACCAAACTATAACTTTAATGAAATAATATTTTTTCCCCACTAATAAAAAGATTGTATCATTAGCGAGCTTCACACTGGAGAGCTGCTTTATAACAGAAAATCAGGTTGTAATTCTAACTGAAAGCGACACTGACTCTGGTTGTTCATGTTTAATACTGTAAAGCTGCTTGATTTAAGGCTCTCTATAGTGCTATATAAATAAACGTGAGGTGACTGGACTTTACTGGAGCACTGAACTGCAGAGCTCATGCAAACATCCACATCACTGTAATCAGATGCTTTCTTAACTGCTGCTTTCTCACCGCTGTCAGTTTTTGTTGTGTTTATTTTGTTATTGAGAGGAAAGCGCGCAGCATATATTTACATATTCATCCAAACGCGGCTCAGCAGCCTCAGGTTCGGCTGCGTTTGCTCTGAAGCGCTGTCTTCTTCTCTTGAATTGTATCACTTTGCGACACGCAGCAGCAGTTTGGTAGCGTGTAGTGCAGTGCAGTTTTTCCTTCTACTCGCAGATATTATTTGCCTTTATGTAGGACCAATAGATTTAAAAATTATTTTATACCAGCTGCCATTGGTTTTTTTAAATTACAAATAATCTTATGTATATTATTAATGGAAGTCATTGTTTTTTGTCTGTGTGTTGTGGTGTTTGTTTGTTGATTGTATATGGTTTACTGCTGGCTGAGAAACAAATTGCCCTTTGGGGATAATTAAGTTGACCTTGACACTGGTAAAACCGCATTACTGCAGGCTCTTTCATTAGGTCATATGAGATCAAATGACTATTCGACAGCAAAAATATTTGTTGACAATTTTTTGCAATGGCCACGCCCAGACAAGAGAAACTCAGAGTCCTATTGGCTAAAGAGACGCTGCAGTACATGAGAGCCGCTGCAGGATGTTCAGGTGGATGTAAGTCCCGCCCACTCACACCTGCAGCAGCACCTGAAACAACTGGAGAGCAAAAGAGCAGCGATTTCATCACGCAGAGCTTACCTGAGGAACCAGCGGGTACACACACACACACACACACACACTACACAAACACACACACAGACACACACACACTACACAGACACACACTACACACTACACACAGACACACACACAGACACACACAGACACACACACACACACACACACACTACACATACACACACACACACACACTCACACTACACATACACACGCACACACACACTGTACGCAACCTGTATGTTTACCGCGCGCGTCTGTGTATTTGTGTGCGTGCGCGTGTGTGTGAGTGTGTGTGTGCGTGTGTGTGTGTGTGTGAGAGAGAGCGCATGAGTGTGTGCGTCAGTGTCTGTGTGTGTGAGTGTGTGAGTGAGTGTGTGTGCGTGTGTGTGTGTGTGTGAGAGAGAGCGCATGGTGTTTAATGGAACACAATTAGGGTAACTAAATGTGTGTGTGTGTGTGCACGCGCGTGCGTGTGTTTTTGTGACATATGAGGACACAAATTTGTATAATGACATGGGTATGACATAGGAGAAGGTGACTTATGAGGACATTACCCCATGTCCCCATTTTTCAAAACGCTTATAAATCATACAGAATGAGTTTTTTTGAGAAAGTAAAAATGCACAAAGTTTCCTGTAAGGGGTAGGTTTAGGGGTAGGGTTGGTGTAGAGCAATAGCACATACAGTTTGTACAGTATAAAAACCATTACTCCTATGGAATGTCCCCACAATTCACAAAAACAAACGTGTGCGTGCATGTGAGTGTGTGTGTGTGTGTACCCGCAGGAGTTGTGTGTTCAGGCTCACGAGCAGCAGCAGCGTTCAGTCGTGCAGAGATCTAAGCAGCACCGCCAACTCCACTCTGCACAGCTGGTGAGTAATGTGCCATAACCACAACCCACTGCATCACCCCACAAAGCATCCCATAATGAGTCACAGTACCGTAGGATCCGTGGGCTGTCTGTGGGCCGACCGAGTTACCATGGCGACTAAGCCTTCTTTCAGTCCAGCAGGGGTCACGCTCACATTCCCAGAATTCCCTGCGCTGGTGTGACTGTGGAAGCTGAGGCCACTGAATGTGTTTCTGTTGGTTCACGCTCATTTCCCCTGCAGTGAATGTGGCACACGTGTGCCGTTAGTGGCTCTGGTGATCCATGCACACACAGGCACAGTCACGTGAGCACATTCTCAGCAAATTCTGAGCAGAGTCACACGAGTCCCAAACGGACGAGATATTGAAGGGTTTGAAATGAAATTCGTATATCATATATCAATATTCAGTGTGAATCAGCCATAAACAATCAAACACGCAATGAGCCTCTTATGGAAATTCGCATTGAATTTTTTTCATTATATCTAATAAATGAACTTGCATTTTATGGACAACAGTGGATGAGCTCTTCATTTCCCAGAATGCAGCAGTCTGCCGGATGATGCTCCGTTCTGTTGGACTGATGAAATTTCTATGTTGTATTTCTTTCTTCGTGTTGAATTGTATTTAATTGAATTCCTGTTCATGTCATTCCATTTCCACATCCGATTCAATCTCTCAGTTTCCTCTCTAAATATGTGTGTGTGTGTGTGTGCGCGTGTGTGTGCACATGAGTGTGTGTGTGCGCGTGCACATGAGTGCGTGTGTGTGCACATGAGTGTGTGCATGCACATGAGTGTGTGTGTGCTACCGGTGACGACCGCACAGAGTAGCATTATAACAGAACTAAATGTATCTCGTATGATAAAACAGCACTGCTTTACCCCACATACGCACGACCGGAAGCAGCGGAAGCGCTCGACTGTGGCATAATAAAAGCTCCGCTGCTCTCCAGCCGTGTGTCGTGCTTCATTCTACTACGTTAATAAATCATTAGCTCATCCATGAACATGATCTCTGCCTGAGTCCCGTCAGATTGCATCGGCTGTGGGGATGAAGACCACAACTCCCATGATTCCACACTCAGTCACCGTGTCATCAAACGACGCCTTTGATTCTTTGTTTATTTTGAATACGCGCCCTCCAGCGGCGAAAATTACATATTGTGCCTTTAACTGCTGTTTTCTTCTTATTTTTCATCTTAAGGAAAGAGTGATGAATAATTATGTATTCTTAAAAATTCTTATTCCTGTCTAGTTTCTTAAGAATTCAAGTTCTTGTAAACGCTTCATAAAGTTAAAAGAACCTCAGACTTGTCTTAAATCCTCAAAGCCGAGCCAGTCATTAAACGAAGATGTCTCGCGTGTCACATTCAGGAGGAGCTTAGAGAGGGTTCATAGTGGGACAAATATTAAAAGCAGTGTAAAGTTCTGTTTGGTTGAGAGAGTCAGACGACATTCGAGCTTGTCATTTCAATGATGGTTTCTGTGTGATTTCGAGTAAAAATCTGAGCTGGACGTTTCACCCGTTTGAGTGAATGTCATGTTTGTGATGCAGGATCGATGGACGAGCTGTTAGCGTCGCTGCAGCGTGGACAGACACAGCTGCGGAAGGTCACGGTCAGCGCAGAGAGCGGCGAGGTCAGGAACAGCCTGCTGTCAGCCATCCGTCAGGGAGTCACCCTGAAGAAAGTCCCGCCCTCCAGCGGCCCCACACACAGCTCCGACTCAGCGCTCGAGCGAAGCATCCAAGCCGCCATGATGAGGATGAAGAAGGTGTCTAACGACTCTGATGATGAAGAGCCATCTGGAGACTGGGAGAGTTAGACGTGACCGTGTTGTGATTCACAAACGCTGCTGCTGGACTGACGGCTGTGAACCCAACGCTGTTTCAGCCGCCATTAATGATTGTCATGGCTAACTTCCTTTGCCAAACTTTGGGTTTTTGCACTGAAATATCTGGTCGTAGGACTATATACGTAATTTTCCATGAAAATACAGCCAATGGCACTGAACACTAGAAATGTGTGAATAACATCTGTCTCTCTGATTTGATCTGTGAACGCGTTCATTAAAGTGCCTGATCAGGATTGGAGCATCTGTCTGTGTTTGAGGGAAAGTATGTGACTTACCCAGAATGCTTTTCTTTTCTTGGAAATCTTGATGGTATCAAAGCCTGGACCAGTGATTCTCAAACTGTGCTAAACGCAACACGATTATGGAAATACACACTAACATATGCAATTCATTCAAAACTATTTAAATTGTTATATTGTATATTTTATTTCAAATATGTGATTGACATCAGCCTTCTGCTTAGTGTTAGGGTTCAATTTCATGAGAAATCAGATGTTCATGTCGTCATTTTGAAAATCAATACACTTTCTGAAATTAACACTGGTATGATACACTTTAATTTGTTCACAGAATATATCATTTTTAATAAAACTGAAGCAACAATGGGAACATGAATTTAATTCCCAACTTCACAGTGGAAATATGGCACGTTATTATAAATATCAACCTCAATTTATGACAATTATTCAATGTAATCCACCATCTACACCAGTGTGTAGTTCAGACATCCATACACATTTTACTCTTACCCAGTGGGCAATTGATGTTGAAAAAACATAAAATTGGCATCAAAATTGTCAAAAGTCACCTCTGTTTATATAATGCTGTTTGTGTCAAAGCAGCTTTATAGTGTTTAACAGGAAAATAGTTTGTCAATAATGCAAGAAGACAATAACAGTCATTTTTCCATCTAAAGTCAGTTCATTAATGATTCAGTGATGTCATCATCCAGTTCAGCTCTCTTCAATAGTGTCTGTGCAATCAGTCAAGCGTCCCCAACTAAGCAAGACAAAGGAACCAAAACTCCATCGGTGACAGAAATGGAGAAAAAAACCTTGGGAGAAACCAGGCTCAGTCGGGGGCCAGTTCTCCTCTGACCAGACCAAACCAGCATGGTGTGGTTTAATTCCAGGCTGCAACACAGGTGCGTTTCAGGTACATTTGTAGGTTTCATCGGACCACGAAGAAATATAGAGCTGAGTATCATCAGCATAACAGTGAAAGCTAACACCATCTTTCTTGATGATATCTCCCAAGGGTAATGTGAAAAGCAACGGTCCTAGTACTGAGCCTTGTGGCACTCCATACTGTACTTGTGATCGATATGATATCTCGTCATTCACTGCTACGAACTGATGACGGTCAATAAGTATGATCTGAACCATGCCAATGCAATACCACTAATGCCAACATAATTTTTTTGTCTACTCAAAAGAATGTTGTGGTCGATAGTGTCGAACTCAGCGCTAAGATCCAGTAGTACTAATAGAGAAAAACAACCACGATCAGATGATAAGAGCAGGTCATTTGTAACTCTAATGAGAGCAGTCTCAGTACTATGATACGGTCTAAATCCTGACTGGAAATCCTCACAGATACCATTTCTCTCTAAGAAGGAACATAGCTGAGAGGATTCTGCCTTTTCTAGTATTTTTATCAGAAAAAGGAGATTTGAGATCGGTCTGTAATTAACTAATTCTCTAGGATCAAGTTGTGGTTTTTAATGAGAGGCTTATTAACAGCCAATTTGAAGGTTTTAGGGACGGATCCTAATGACAATGATGAATTAATAATATTCAGAAGAGGATCCATGACTTCTGGAAGCACCTTTTTTAGTAGATGATTTAACAAGTTTATACAATTTTTCCTCTCCTACAGCAGAGAATGAGTGGAATTATTCCTCAGAAGATCTATAGCGTTATTGTAGCTGACGGCTGCATGGATTTAATTTTATCTATATATAGATATATTTTTTAAACAATTTTTTCAAGTTTATAATGTCATTACTGCTGTGCCATTGGGGAATGTCTGCTGCTGTTGATGCTTTATTTTTGTTAATTTAGCCAAGGTACTGAATAAATAACTGGGGTTGTGTTCGTTTTTTTCTAAAAGAGACGAGAAGTAAGCAGATCTAGCAGTTTTTAAGGCTTTTCTGTAGGGCAGGGTAAAAAAATATTGATTTCTCGATTTTAATCAATTCTCATTTTTACGAAACAATATTGATTCTTAAACCCGAAGAATCGATTAGACTAGCCTGTTTTCAGTTAATGAAGGGAACATTGTAGCATGCCTCCCATCCAATAAATCACAATAAGCTTTGTGCTTTATTACTTTTGAGTAATAGTCCCAGATTTCCAATTCTGTCCATTTTATTGCAGTATCCAAACAATAAATGCCAATTTTTACCGTTCTTCAATGTTTTATGTTTGAATAAATCTGACAAAGTTTTAAATGACAGGCACCAATTGTTTATATTTCAACAACAAAAAAAAAAACGAATTGGAGTAGAAATATAATTATGTAGTTGTAACTTTATTATTATAAAACTTAATTGAGTGTAATTTAAGTGTTTGTATACAAATCAGTTAATTTGAACCTTCAAAATTATAATAATGTAGTACCAACTGACTCGCATGTATATTTTACAGCTTTAGTTGAGTTTTTTTTCCTTGAGAAAATTTGGCATATACTGTACCTGATATTAGATCCAAAATAATTGATATTGAATCGAATCAAATTGGAAATCGAATCTAAAGCTTGTGAATCAAAATCGAATCGAACCTACTTTACTGTAGGAGGAAGTACTTTCCCTCCATGCAATACGAAATACCTCTAGTTTTGTTTTCTTCCAGCTGCGCTCCATTTTCCGGGCTGCTCTCTTTAGGGTGCGAGTGTGCTCGTTATACCACGGTGTCAGACTGTTTTCCTTAATCTTCTTTAAGCGTAAAGGAGCAACCATATCTAAAGTGCTAGAAAAGAGAGATTTAATAGTTTCTGTTACACCATCAAGTTTTTCTGAGCTATTGGATATGCTAAGGAATTGAGACAAGTCAGGAAGATCGAATTTACAGTTTTAGCTATATGAAGTTTGCACAAGACTAACTAATGATCTGAGATATCATCGCTTGGCTGCATAATTTCAACACCATCAACATCAATTCCATGTGACAGTATTAAATCTAGAGTATGATTACAACAATGAGTAGGTCCTGAGACATGTTGTCTAACCCCAATAGAGTTCAGAATGTCTATGAATGCTGATCCCAATGCATCTTTTTCATTATCAACATGGATATTAAAATCACCAACAATTAAGACTTTATCTGCAGCCAGCACTAACTCGAATTATAATTGAAGCCAGACTTCTGAGAAATATTGAGAATATTACTATAAATTGTAGCAACACCTCCCCCTTTACCTTTTGGACGCGGCTCATGTTTATAACAGTAATCTTGGGGGGTAGACTCATTTAAAATAATGCAATCATCTGGTTGTAGCCAGGTTTCTGTCAAACAGAGCACATCTAGGTTATGATCTGTGATCAAATAATTTACAAAGTGCTTTCATCAAAACATCAGCTCTGGATTATTATACAAAATGATCAAGTTGTCATTGCTTTAAAATGCACATTCATTTTGTTTAAATGCATATATGATATTTGTAAATTCTGTAACTTGTAGCATCTTCCAACTGTACTTTCTGATATCATCTCATAAAAGACTATTGTGGTGTTGTAACAGAAACATGCATTTTCTGAAAAGGTGCTTTGAAACATGTACTGTGAAAAGTATTATATAAATAAATGTGAACTAAACTAAATTGAACTGAAAGAGCCATTGTATTGTTGGTTACTGTACAGTTTTGATGTCATGGACACTGACAATACACTTACAAGAGCCATTGCAGTATTGGCCTTATTCCCTTATTCAGTCCTTGACTGTTACCATGAAAATTATCAGACATTTTTACTATAGCATTTTGAAGTAGAGATATGGCGCCTCCAATTGGGCCAATATTACAATGTTCTCCTGTTACTGTATTGTCATATCTACCAAACTTATGGGTCCATATCTTCAAAATGAGAGAGAGAGAGAGAGCGAGAGAGAGAGAGAGAGAGAGAGTGTGTGTGTGTGTGTCTGTGAGTGTGTGTGTGTTTCTGAGAGAGAGAGAGAGAGAGAGAGTGTGTGTCTGTGAGTGTGGACCAGATGAAGGTGCGACACACAGATCCTGAGCATCACTGAGCACAGTGTTTCTATGGAAACAGGATTTGTTACGGTGACATCACAGAAATCTACACACAACGATAAAACAACGATATGAACAAATGTATTCACATCTGGATCGCAGTATACTCACACAATCAATAGCAGCCGTGTGTGGGATGCCGGTTGCCAAGGCAACACATCCTCTC